CTCTAATGTAGGTGCTGCTGTGAAGGGATTTAGCAGATATAATTAAGGGGCTCAATTAGTTGACTTTAGGCTGGGTTACTCCTGCTTGGACTGTCCTAATCGGGTGAGCCCTTGAAAGGACCGGGTTCTTCCTGAGCATAGAGAAATGCAGTGTGAGAGGGATTCAGCATGAGGGGTTTCCTCCACTGTGGGCTTTGAAAATGAAGGGGCTATGGGCCAGGTGCAGTGGTTCACGCCTGTAATCCCAGTACTTTGGGAGGCTGAGGCAGGCGGATCAAGAGGTCAGGAGATCAAGGCCCTCCTGGCTAACACGGTGAACCCCGTCTCTACTAAAAATACAAAAAAAAAAAAATTAGCCAAGCGTAGTGGTGGGCACCTGTAGTTCCAGCTACTTGGGAGGCTGAGACAGGAGAATGGCATGAACCAAGGAGGTGGAGCTTGCAGTGAGCTGAGACCATACCACTGCACTCCAGCCTGGGCTACAAAGTGAGACTCTGCCAAAAAAAAAAAAAAAAGAAGAAGGGGCTGCTGGTGAACAACAGGAATTGAGTGCAGCCCTTCCTGTTCTCTATATTGATAGCCCGCAAGGAACAGGGACTTTAGTCTTACAACTGTAAGAAACTGCATTCTGCCACCTCTCTATAAACCTGAAGGAGGATTCAAAATGAAAACACAGCTTTTGGAAGCCCAGAACAGAGATTCTCTCCACATCTTGCCCAGATTTCTGAGCAAGGAACTAGAAGTAGATAAATGGGTGTTGTTTCGCTAGGGGTGGTAGTGCATGAATGAATTGATGAATTGATACGCACACTAGTTACATAACATAAAATCTTTCTGAACTTTTTCAGTGTTTTACACTTCATAATTATCTGGGATGCAATTTAATGCACTCATATTTCATTCATTAAGTCAACAAAAATTAATTTAGTGCCTATGATGAACCAGGTATCCCTTCATATGCTCACCTGCCTGACACTCCAGAAGCTTCACAAGACCGAGGTGGAGACACTGGAGTGTTTCAAGGGGAGAAATGACACACTCTGACAGGAGCAGGACCACTGTGAAGAGAACAGTCATGTAGCAGGTCATGGGACAGTGCTAGTGTCACAATTCACGGGTGACAGTGTGGTGGGGACTAAGGGGAGAGGAGAGTCTGAAGGATGAGAGGGACTGAGGGAAGGGCTGGAGAAGCAGGTGGTGAGGAAAAGGAGCAGAGGAAAGAATTTGAAAGCACCAGAATTCTTAGGTTTCAATACATTGTTTTATGGATTTTAATATATCCACCTACAGAGCCTGGCAGGGTGTTCTTGGCAGTTGGCCTTTACTACCTTATGTGGGTCTGCCTAAAAACTAATTGTTTTTATGTTAATCGGGTTTTAAAAATACTAAGTGTTCCTGTAAAATATACACAACACTTAGAAATGGATACTTCCTAAAAACAGGCAGTGCATGAGCACTGGTGAGGGGCATTGTGACTGCATTGAACAGTTGCAACTGTGAGGTGAATAGTCTGTACTGGCTCCTGGTTGCAACATATAGTAACACAGTGTGCTACTTTGTATTGAGGAAATATTTTGAAAGCACCAGAATTCTAGGGTTAAATAGTTATTGTTTTATGGATTTAACAGAGGTCCACCCACAGAGCCCAGCAGGTGCTCTCAGAAAGGTTGGCCTTTGCTACACCTTATGGGTCATTCGCTCAAAACTAATTGTTTTTATGTTAATCGGGTTTTAAAAATACCAAGTACTCCTGTAAAACATACACACAACACTTGAAACAGATACTTAAAAAGTCATACAAAGAGTACTTGCAGAGGCATTAGACTGTATTGGGAACAGTTAAATCATTGTGAGGAATAAATCTGTACTATATGTCTGTTGGCAATGATGGTATAGTAATACACAGTGTGCTACTTTGTATTGAGGAAAGACATCCTGGACCAATAATAGAAACCAGACACAGGAGTGATGGTAAATTTGAAATGCAGCAAGGGAGTCATAGACACATTGTTCGCTAGTGAAATTCAGCCGGTGAGTCCCGTTGTAACGCTTGGACACGATTATATAAATGGCGTCAAATACATTTTTACCATTGATTCGGCGATCATTCAGATTATCAAGATTCTAATACTAACAACGCAACATATTTAATAAAACAAACAGCAAATTGGTCTCTATTCTGTCTCATGTACCAGGCTAACTTTTCCAGATTAAAAAAAAAAAAAGTCTCTATACCTTCATTCCAGATAAGTCTATTCTGGGCAACTAAGCCTGTGGTGGGGGAGTTTTTTCAGAAGAGCCCAAGGGATAGGTCAGGAGTGGAGGCAGGAACCAGTCATAGGAGATGAGATTCGGATGAAAGTGAAGGGAGACAGACGGGGGCCATGTCACCTAGGGTTCTCCCTGGTTTTCAGACAGCCTGGGGGCCAAGACTCAGGAGACAGAGACAGAGCCAAAGTGCACAGAGAGGAGCGGGGAATAGGCGAGTCCCAGGGCTCCCAGGTGTGGGGCTTCCGTATTCATTCCAGTAGGCAAAATGGATTGGGGAGCCCGTTGCTGTGATTCTACTTCGCAGCTCTTCTCTCTTCTCAACCCGCGCGCTCTTTCCTGATACTCACGAGGACGGTGACCCTGTCTCCTCACAATCTTCATTGGGTGTCGGGTTTCAGAGACGCTAACCCAGTGTCGCCAGTCCTGGTGCCTCAAAGTCCCCCACTCACCACCACAGGACTCTGATTCTTGTGCAGACGCCATGAGGAGCTTAAGTGGTCATGCTCTGAACCCTCCTCCGCAAGTGCTCGGGGTCCTGGCCCTGACCAGACCCAAGGGGTAGTGAGTGTGGGGTCGGGAGGGAAACGGCTCTGCCGAAGACAGAGGAGCCCGCCTGGCAAGTGGGGACCCGGGGATGTGCGCGGGGAGGCATGGCCGGGCGGGTCTCAGCCCTCCTCGCCTCCAGAGGTTCTCACCAATGAGAGGTATTTCACACCTACAGCGTCCCGGCCCGGCAGCTGAGCCCTGCTTCATCGCCGTGGGCTTAGCGTGACGAGACACGAAGCCAGGTGGTTCACAGTGATGCCATGAGTCCGAGAGACGGAGCGCCGCGGCGCCGTGGTGGAGCAGGTGAGGGCCGGAGTATTGGGACCGGGAGACACAGGATCAAGGAAGACCGCGACAGAGACTTTCCGAGGGTCTGTGCAGAACCCAAAGTGCTACTACAAACCAGAGCTGAGAGGTGGGGTGAGGGCTCGGGGCCCGGGCGCAGTAGGTCATGACCCCACCCCATCCCCTGGCCGGGATTGGTCTGGTGCCTGCCCCGAGTCTCCGGGTCCCAGATCCGCCTCATGAGGCCGCGGGACCCCGAGACCCTGACCCGGAGAAGAGAGCCCGCCGCGCGCCTCTTTACCCGGCTACCGGCTTTTCAGTTGAGGCCAAAAATCCTGCGTGGGTTGGGCGGGGGCGGCGCGGGCTGGTGGGAGGGTGGGGCTGACCGCGGGGCGTCAGGTCCGCACGTCCAGGAAGATGCATGGCTGGCACCTGGGCCCCGCTGGGACGGGCGCCTCCGCGGGCAGGCGTAAGAAAAAGCGTCGCGACGGCAGGTGGGGACGAGCACGCCGAGGGACCTCCGCGCCTGGACGGCAGAAGCGGACATGGCGGCTCGGGAACACCCAGCAGCAAGTGGGAGGTGGCCCGTGTGGCGGAGGCAAACGTGAGAGAGGCTACCTGAGGGGACGTGCTTGGAGGCCCGCGCAGAGCCACCCAAGGGAGAACGGGGGAAGGAGACACTGCAGCCATGGTACCATGGCAGTGGGGAGCCTTCCTCCACACCACCTCTGATCGCCCAGCTGGCCTCCTCCGAAGAGGGGAGACAATGGGACCAACACTAGAACAATATCGCCTCCCTCTGGTCCCGAGGGAGAGAATCCTCTGTCACCAGATCCTGCAGCACTGTGAGAGTGACTGAGGCTCCCAGGCCCTGCTTCCTGACAGCCACCACCAGTGAGATAAATCTAGAGGGAACAAAAGAAGGTAAAGACTGATCCCTCAACACCAGGGTTCCCTTTGGACACCCAAGAGGAAAGATGAGCCCCGGGGGCCCCTGACTTTCCTCTCTGTGTCCACTCCTCTGCTTCCACTCAGGTGTGTGGGGTCTGTCCAGCCCTCTGAGCCTCCTCAGCTAATCTGTGGGCAGACCACAGAAGTCACTGTTCCCTCCTTCTGTAGTTGGTCAGAATAATTTCCACCACGAGGCAGAGATTCTCCCAGGTGCCTGTGTCCAGGATAGCGCCTGGGTTCCGGCTCCTTCCCACCCCAGGTACCACCAAGGCTGTGTCCATTCTCAAATAGCCACATGGGTGTGCTGTGATGTCCATATAGATGCAAAATGACGAATTTTCTGACTCTTCCACCAGAGCCTCCTGGACACATGACCCACCATCTGGCTTTGACCATGAGGTGGGGCCATTCTCAGAGGGTGCTGGCCCTGGGCTTACCTCCATAGAGATCACTGACTTGGGCAGCGGATGGGGAGGATAAACTCAGACACTGGAGCTCGGGGGAGACCAGGCCTGCAGTGAGAGCTGGAACCCCAGCGGGAAGTGCTGTGGTGGTGCCTTCTGGAAAGGAGCAGAGATACACCTGTCATGTGCAGCATGAGGGTCTGCGTGAGCCCCTCACCCTGAGATGGGGTAAAGAGGGAGATGGGGGAGTGTCATGTCTCTTAGGGAAAGCCAGAGCCTCTCTAGAGACCTTTAGCAGGGTCAGGACCCCTCACTTTCCCCTCTTTTCCCAGAGCCATCTTCCCAGTCCACCATCCCCATCGTGGGAATCATTGCTGGCCTGGTTCTGCTTGGAGCTGTGGTCACTGGAGCTGTGGTTGCTGCTGTGATGTGGAGGAGGAAGAGCTCAGGTGAGGAAGGGGTGAGGAGTGGAGTCTGAGATTTCTTGTCTCACTGAGGGTTTCAAGCCCCAGGTAGAAGTGTACCCTGCCTGGTTACTGGGAAGCACCATCCACGCTCATGGGCCGACCCAGCCTGGGCCCTTGTGGCAGCACCTACTCTTTTGTAAAGCACCTGTTAAAATGAAGGACAGATAGATCACCTCGATTACGGTGGTGATGGGACCTGATCCCAGCAGTCACAAGTCACAAGGGAAGGTCCCTGCTGAGGACAGACCTCAGGAGGGCAGTCGGTCCAGGACCCACACCTGCTTTCTTCATGTTTCCTGATCCCGCCCTGGGTCTACAATCACACATTTCTGGAAATTTCTCTGGGGTCCAAGACTAGGAGATTCCGCTAGGACCTTATGGCCCTGGTTCCTTTTTTATATCTCACAGGACATTTTCTTCCCACAGATAGAAAAGGAGGGAACTACTCTCAGGCTGAAAGTAAGTTGAAGGAGGCTGATCCCCGAGATCCTTGGGATGTTGTGGTTGGGAGCCCATGGGGGAGCTCGCCCAGCCCAGAGTTCTTCCTCTAGTCACATCTCCAGAGGGATCTGACTAGTTCCTGTTTTTGTTCTACTCCAGGCAGTGACAGTGCCCAGGGCTCTGA